TTATACTTTTAAAAGAGTCACTTGGTTTGTTGAGATTGCAACGATCGTTTTTCATTTTGAAGAATCGAAAAAAAAAAACATTTACTAAATCAATTAATATTTTATAAATATTATCATAATCCTAATCATGATGAATTGACAATATCACATGATTTTCGAAACTTTTTTGGGGCGATTTTACCCGGTCACAAAAATTCAGCAGATCGGCCCGAGTTATAGATCGGATTTCGTCGGATTTAGGCCAGTATTAAGAAATAACGACAACTGTATTACACCAAAATTATTATCTGGGCAGCTTTACTTAGTGAGTGGGCTATGGTTTCATTAGTAAAATTTTGAGTGACCTTGGGCAAAATTAATCAATATCGGTGCAATCCGACCCATAATTCGGGCCGATCTGCTGAATTTTTGTTTCTCCGCAAATCTATCCGGTCGGCCATGGCTAGTGTTGGGTCATTTGGTCATAACAAAGATTGATATGACTTATGACTTTTTTTTAATATAGTAAGAATCATAGTAAAGATTTTTTGCATTAGGTACTATTTATTTCCCGCTGCGGCGGGAATAAGAGGTACATCCCCGTTCATCTGGGGGCCCGAAGGGCCCCAGATGAACGGGTATCTAACGGGTTATTTCCCGTAGTGGCGAAATAGGGGTATTATTCTTCGTTTTATATGATGTCATATGACGGGCTTTACAACTCATAATCACTATTTTAATCAAATAAAAAAAACGGGGTTTCTAGCAATGCGAGTTATTTCTCCAGCAACGCTTGTTATTTCCCCCGGAAATAACAAGCGTTGCCGGGGAAATAACTCGCATTGCTAGAAACCCCGTTCTTTTACTGATTAAAGTAGTGATTATGAGTTGTAAACCCCCGTCATGCGATCATATGGAAACGTGGAATAATATTTAATATGACCGGATGACTATGACCAAAAGTCATATGATTATATGACCAAGGTCATATAGAAAAAAAATGGTATGACATAGACACTGGTCATGACCGGTCAATAACCGTAACCGATATTTAACCGGTCAGAGGTTAACCGACCGGTCAAAATTATATGACTGATACCGATGTCAGATTTTGAGCCCATCCGTAATCTTAATATGCTTGATTGATAGAAATTGTGACATTATCATCGATCTGGAATGACACTTTGACAAAAAATAGGTTGCATTGACTCTTGTATAATTATAAAGATCGTTGAGCCTACGTTCCTGGTTTTAGCGCGACGGTGTCACGTCGCGCAGCTACCTTAATTTTATATTTAATATTAATATTATTGCTATTTCCATAACACAATTCATTTGTGTCGCCCTAATTTAAAACAATGATAAATAAAATTGGAATCCTTTGAATCCTCGCCTCAATTCTGCAATTAGAACTCAATTAGATCGTCTCAATGACCCGACAAAACTATTGGCTCAGTATTTGGACCAAACAATTCTGCAGTGTACCCACAAACCCCACCAGCAGTCTAGGACTCCGCCAGGAGTCTAGACACTTTTGCAGTAACTTGATGTGGCGCATAAAAAATGACCAATCGGGATGTCAAAACAAAACACGTGCGTAAGAAAAAAAGTGAAAAAGTGAAAATACTCAAAAACTAGTGTTTAAATCGGCCTTTGGGCACTAACAAAAATTGTCGGGAGCATAATTTTACATATGGAGATGATCTTTCAAGGCTTATAACCACGAACCCTAACCGGAAACATAACATAAAGCCAAAAAAGCTTATCCGGATGTGCCACAAACGCCACATCACGTTACTGCAAAAGTGTCTAGACTCCTGGTAAACAGTATGCACATGCAGTATACATATGACGCACAAGACACTTAAAAACAGAGAAATTCCGGATTTTCTGGCAGAATCTGATGTGAATTTTAAATTGTATTTTCCTAGTAGCATTATTGAGTACAAAAATGATGAATTTTTAGACGTTGTTCATAAAGGACTACCAAATATGAAAACCGATTTCTATTAGGAATTTTATTTAATTTATAACATAGTTTTGCTGATGCATTATTACATAACGATAAGATTTTATCTTCATTTTCTTGCAGCCCTATTCTTTAATCGGAAACATAATGCACCTGCGGCAAATATTATAGTTGTAGCATTAATTACAAAATTAGGTATAATACTAGTATAATAGTTCAGAGTGGGGTAAAAAACAAGGATTTAACAGGTTTTTTCCTAAAAGCTTTTTTTAAATAATTATCAGGATAACTATTGCAACTGTACCAATTTTAAATTTCCAAATACAGAGATGAAACGTCCATCCTTAATGCAGTAATGTTTCTAAATAGAACATGCATTTTTTGCAAAGAATTCATTGATTTATTGTAATCTCAGATTTATTATCGCGCTTTTCAAATTACTGTGATCAACAAATTTTGTGTCATGTTTGTGGCGCAGACGTAATGCTATCAAAATTCATAAGGTAGCTGCGCAACACGCGATGCCGCGCAGGACCAGAACGATCAGCATTTAGGATGTATGTTATGTTGAAAAATAGATAAATTATATTTATAAATTTATCGTAATTTACAAAATTGTGAAGCAATTTATGATGCAGTCATAATCTTTACGATTTGTATTAATGTCACTTAAAACCAGAACACAGGTGATACTAAATCGAATGTTCAAGATTACCAATTTTTTAGAAATTCATCTATCAAAATTAATATTTTCGATCATGTGATAAGTAATAGTTATATCCTGGGCAGTTGGGTATAAGTGGGATTTTGCAGTAAGTATAATCGGCCGCGTAAGCGGCC